AATCAAGCCCATCAAATAATTAATAATCAACAAGCTGGAGAGTCATGTGTCTAAATCTTTATTACAACTATGAAGAAAGACCTACATAACTTCCAATTTCTATTAACTAAAGAATTTTATTATCCCTTGTAGAGTTTTTGATTTTATAAAGCCCTAGAGTAAAAACTGTGATTTACATTTTTAGTTCAATCATATAAGAGTTAGTAAAATAAAGCTTGAAGAGAACTATGACAGTGATAGTACTTTCTGCTCTACAAAAGAGGCGCATCCGAACACAAGCATCTGACATAACCTTAATATAAATAAAGGAAGGCGCCTATATGATTAAATGATTATAACATGCATTTCACCTAAAGAAAAATGCTTAGGTTGTGTCCCCTATAAAGGGGACATTTCCTCAAAGATGACAGAGTTGATTTCTAGCATTCAAGAAGTTTCTCCTAATAGCATCTCCACACTTGTTTCGCACTAGAGGAAATATTTCTAGCACAATGTGAGGCAATGTTTACCTTTTAAGTATATTTTAAATAATTATAAATTCAGTGTATTCTTTCAGAGTAGATGTGCTTGTGATCCCAAACATATCAAACTAAATTATTCATTCTTCTCAATCCTACCACAAACATTTTACAAAAATCAGTGAAAATAAATTCCAGATCATTAAAGGGAAAGGTGAGTTTGGAAGTCACTGGTTTAATGTCTGCCTGGACTGTAAGTTAAACCCTAATTCTCTCATCAGACACAACTTTTCAACCACATCAGAAAACAACTCTAGATCCACTCTAGTGATATAGTTCTACTTTTCTCCCCTATGTTAAGTTTTCCTTCCTTTCCTTTCTCTTTCTTCTATTTTTTTAAAGCAAGTCACTGTACAGATACTTATTCTCTACACCACTTCCCTTTTGAAACATTAAACTGACACTGGAACTGACTGCACAAGATTGCATTTTCTCTTCCTAAACAACTTGAATTGAAAGGTTACTTAGTGTAACAATATTTACTTGCAGAATTGTGTTGTTACCAAGGGTATAATGGATGGTGGCTATGCAGGTTTACGCAAGAATGAGTGAAGCATGAGGCATTAGCCATGTGTTTGACATGTTTCAAATTGCTATAATCCAGCATTAAACACACCCAGCAATTCATGCCATTTCTTGCAGCCATAATCTTGAATAAAGCGTGCACAACCACTTATTATATAAATTAGTATATGACTCCCTGTTATAGTCACAACAGTGCTTTTGTGTTTATTTTGCATCAAGATGTAGTCTTTTATTTGTACAAATAGCAGGATATAAAGACATAGCTCAATTAGGCCTCCTTACTTTATGATAGGGTAGTACTGAATGCTAGACTTGTTGGTTTTATTTTTTCCTCTTACAGTTATAGGTTCTATTGGTATAAAACTGTGTCATGTGAGGTACTTACATGGTAGAGTGATAACAATAACCTGCATATATCCTATTCCATGTTCGCTGCAATGTTCAAGTTTGAAACTTGACCTGAGCCAACTATAATTAATTGTGTTATCTCAACCACCACCAGGGACACTATTGGTCCTTGTTGCTAACTCAACTTTTCTCTCTGATCTTCCTTACCACTCTTCCTTCCTTCCTTGCCGTATGTGTGTGTGTGTGTGTGTGTGTGTGTGTGTGTGTGTTTAGGTATGCACAGCTAGATCAATCCTATTGATTAACTGATCTAACTATATATGTCAAAGGTAGTAAGAAGGAAAAAATAGCTTCTACTTTCTACCATATTCCCCTAGCTATATATATACTGAAACTCCAATTTATAATTTTGGTGCCTTAATATTAAATTTTATTTTTATCTGTTTTGCATATTACCACTTAATCAAGACAAATGGATGAAAAAAAAAGACTGTCTCAAAAACTAAGAGCAAATAACCGTACATACAAAAACTGTGAAGCTATTTTTCTTAAACAAAAGTCAGAGACATTAAAAGACACTTTATATCCAATTATCTGATTTATTATAGTGTCTACTTTATTTAATCAAATACAAAGCATTCGGAACATGACATTTAAAGAAAAGTAAACTATCACACTAACAATTATCAATATTCTCAGACTTCGTTAATCATCTTTAAATTCACCCATGAAAGAGTTAAATAAAAGAAAAATCGGCATGTGCAACAAGAAACTACATAGATTTACCTCAAAATATCAGCTAAATTTTGATTTTGAAAACTTGACTGTGATGTAAAACTTCTGAAAGAAACCAGCATTTAAATAATGATAACTTTTGTGCTCTAGTGGAATTAATTCATCACGGACATCATGCACAGTGCATTTAAAATCTAACACTGCTTTGCTAAAAGTCTTTAATACTCAGATTGCCTAATAAATCAAAATGCCATATATGAGGGACATAGTTGAATGTGTAAGAGCAAAAATTGAAAAGGCACAGGAATACTTCTAATTTTTAAAAACTGAAGTAGGGTGTCTTCTAAAAGATGGTTTGGGGAAGGGCATCTGATTTAGCAAGTGATATTTTATTATAACCAATGATACTATGATTTTAAGTAAATGAAGATTAACTTGTTTATAAAGTATTTGTCACTGCTTTTCACTTGCTTAACTGTCTAACATTCTTTACACAAATTAAGGTTGTCTTCTTATGAAAAGAAAACACATCAGGGAAAATTCAAGTTTTCT